AGCCCAACAGCAATGCATAGAGAGCTTCATGGAATGGGTTTCCATGGTCGAGCAGCTGCATCCAAGCCTTACATCACCAAGTGCAATGCAAAGCGTCGGATGCCGTGGTGTAAAGCACGCCACCACTGGACTCTAGAGCAGGGGAGACGTGTTCTCTGGAGTGACCAATCACGCTTCTCTGTCTGGAAATCTGGAGATGGATGTGCCTGGGTTTGGAGGTTGCCAGGAGAACGGTACTTGCCTGACTGCATTGTGCCAAGTGTAAAGTTTGGTGGATTGGGGATTATGGTGTGGGGTTGTTTTTCAGGGGTTGGGCTTGGCCTCCTAATTCCAGTGAAGAGAACTCTTTATTTTGGACAATTTCATGCTCCCAACTTTGTGGGAAGAGTTTGGGGATGGCCTCTTCCTGTTCCAACATGACTGTGCACCAGTGCACAAAGCAAGGTCCATAAAGACATGGAGGAGCCAGTTTGGGGTGGAGGAACTTGACTGGCCTGCACAGAGTCCTGACCTCAACCCCATAGAACACCTTTGGGATGAATTCGAGCGGAGACTGCGAGCCAAGCCTCCTCCCCCGACATCAGTGCCTGACCTGACAAATGTGCTTCTGGAAGAATGGTCCAACCTTCCCATAGACACCCTCCTAAACCTTGTGGACGGCCTTCCCAGAAGAGTTGAAGCTGTTATAGCTGCAAAGGGCGGGGCCAACTCAATATTGAACCCTACGGACTAAGACTGGGATGACATGTGCGTGTAAAGGCAGGTGTCCGAATACTTTTGGCAATATAGTGTATTTCCAGTTTAAGGTTTCACATTTTCTTTTGGTCAACCCAAGGTAGCTTAATTCAGGAACCGCGTTCCATTCGTTCCATACTTTGCAAATCAGAGACTCCTATAATTTTCTGTCTGTAAGTATAGTATCATTGTTGTGCTCCAACAAACGAATCCACACAGAGGACTTCAATCGAGTCTTTTAAAAACTAAATAGCTAGCCACTCCAGACTTGAGAAAGAACTGCGCACGGCATGAAACACTGCTATGATTTTCAGAGGATTTCCTTTTGTGCTGCTCTGTCATTACATGGATTGAATAAAAGAGCTATTTTTTTAAAACCGTAAAGGACGACTCAGAGGCGAACTGACAACTCATGGGGCCCCCGGGCAATAGGGGATCATGGGGCCCCTGTGTCCTTGCCCAAACTCAAAAAAAAGCCTATGAAAAAAGGTACCAGGGGCATCTCATGGGGCCCCCTACTGTCCCCGGGCCCTCGAGTAGTGCCCGAGTTTCCAAATGGTCAGTCCACCCCTGGGACGACTTTACCTTTGGTACCAGCTGCCCTCTGTGTCTAAAGGCACAGCACTAGACCTATGCAGCTCGTTTCGTTCCAAATAGAAATTCGGATGAAATTTTTATTATTCGCCAATTCGGATGTATCTATTACTATTATACTACTATTACTATAGTAATGAATTTAAACGAATCCCAAAATAACAAAATAAAATTTCGGCTGAAATAATCGAATCTGAAACAAATTGGGAAACAAAAATCGAATTTGAAAACAAATTCGAATTGTAAACATATTGCTGACTGTTGCTGATTTCCTTCAAAGACTGTATGTATTAGATTATAGCCGTCTTCGGAAATTCAAAAAAAAAAAAAAAAATAGAAAAAAAAGGATAAAACAGAAGAGAATAGAAAAGAATGCAAATTTCCAAAAAATAATAGAATGGAATAAAACAGAAGACAATAGAAAAGAATGCGAATTTCAAAAAAGAATAGAATAGAAAATAAAGGAATAGAAAATGGAAAGAAAATAAAGGAACAGAAAATAAAAAAAAAATATAAAGGAATAGTATAAATATATAGAATAAATAGATCAAATTTCAAAGAAGAATAGAATAAAATAGAAGAGAAAAAAAAAGAATGTGAATTTTAAAAAAGAATAGAATAGAAAATAAAGGAATAGAAAAATTTTAAAGAAAATAAAGGAATAGAAAATGTAAAGAAAATAAAGGAATAGAAAATAGAATAAAATAAAATAGAATAAATAGAATAGATAGATCAATCGAACAAAAAAAAAAAAAAAGAATAGAATAGGATAAAACAGAAAAGAATAGAAAAGAATGCGAATTTCAAAAAAAAGAATAGAATGGAATAAAACAGAAGACAATAGAAAAGAATGTGAATTTCAAAAAAAATAGAATAGAAAATAAAGGAATAGAAAATGTAAAAAAAAATAAAGGAATAAAAATGTAAAAAAAAAAAAAAAAAGGAATAAAAAATAGAATAAAATACAAAAGAATAAATAAAATAGATAGATCAATCAAACAAATTTAAAAAAAGAAAGAAAAAAGGGTAAAACAGAAGAAAAATAGAAAAGAAATGAAAAAAAAAAAAAAGAATAGAATAGAATGGAATAGAAAATGTAAAGAAAATAAAGGAATAGAAAAAAAAAAAAAAATAAAGGAATAAAAAAAAAAAAAAAAAAAAATAAAAAAAAAAATAGAAAATGGAAAAAAAATAAAATAAATAGATAGATAATTGAACACATTTAAAAAAAAGAATAGAATAAATAAAACAGAAAGCAAAAAAGAATGCGAATTAAAAAAAAAAAAAAGAAAAAAAAAAAAAAAAACAGAAAAAATAAAAAAAAAAAAAATTTCAAAAAAAAAAATAGAATAAATGGAATAAAAAATGTAAAGAAAAAAAAAAAAAAAAAATGTAAAAAAAAAAAGGAAAAAAAAAAAAAAAAAAAAAATAAAAAAAAAAAATAAAAAAAAAAAAATAAAAAAAATAAGAATAATAGAAAAAAAAAAATTTAAAAAAAAGAATAGAATAGGGAAAAAAAAAAAAAAAATAGAAAAAAAAAAAAAAAAAAAAAAATAGAAAAAGAAAACAGAAGACAATAGAAAAGAAAGTGAATTTCAAAAAAGAATAAAATAGAAAATAAAGGAATAGAAAATGTAAAGAAAATAAAGGAATAGAAAATGTAAAAAAAAATAAAGGAATAAAAAAATGTAAAAAAAAAAAGCAAAAAAAAAAAATAAAATAAAAAATAAAAATAAATAAAAAGAATAGATAGAAAATCGAAAAAATTTAAAAAAAAAAAAGAATAGGATAAAACAGAAGAAATAGAAAAAATGCAAATTTAAAAAAAAAGAATAGAATGGAAAATAAAGGAATAGAAAATGTAAAAAAAATAAAGTTATAGAAAAACAATAAAATAAAATAGAATAAATAGAATAGATAGATCAAAAAACACAAAAAAAAAAAAGAATAGAATAGGGTAAAACAGAAGAGAATAAAAAGAATGCGAATTTCAAAAAAAGAATAGAAAAAAAAGAAAACAGAAGACAATAGAAAAGAAAAAAAAATTTCAAAAAAGAATAGAATAGAAAATAAAGGAATAGAAAATGTAAAGAAAATAAAGGAATAGAAAATGTAAAAAAAAAAAAAAAAAAAAAAAATGTAAAAAAAAAAAAAGCAATAGAATAAAAAAAAAAAATAAAAAATAGAATAGATAGATCAATCGAACAAATTTAAAAAAAAAAAAGAATAGGATAAAACAGAAAAAGAATAGAAAAGAATGCAAAAAAAAAAAAAAAAGAATAGAATGGAAAATAAAGGAATAGAAAATGTAAAAAAAAAATAAAGGAAAAAAAAAAAAAAAAAAAAAAAAATAAAGTTATAGAAAATACAATAAAATAAAATAAAAATAAATAGAATAGATAGATCAATTGAACACATTTAAAAAAAAAGAATAGAATAGGGTAAAACAGAAGAGAATAGAAAAGAATGCAAATTTCAAAAAAATAATAGAATGGAAGAAAACAGAAGACAATAGAAAAGAATGTGAATTTCAAAAAAAAGAATAGAATAAAAAAAAATAAAGGAATAGAAAATGTAAAGAAAATAAAGGAATATAAAATGTAAAAAGAAATAAAGGAATAAAAAATGTAAAAAAAATAAAGCAATAGAATAAAATAAAATAGAATAAATAGAATAGATAGATCAATGGAACAAATTAAAAAAAAGAAAAGAATAGGATAAAACAGAAGAGAATAGAAAAGAATGCAAATTTAAAAAAAAAATAGAATGGAAAATAAAGGAATAGAAAATGTAAAAAAAAATAAAGGAATAAAAAATGTAAAAAAAATAAAGTTATAGAAAATACAATAAAATAAAATAGAATAAATAGAATAGATAGATCAAATGAACACATTTAAAAAAAAGAATAGAATAGGGTAAAACAGAAGAGAATAGAAAAGAATGCGAATTTCAAAAAAAGAATAGAATGGAAGAAAACAGAAGACAATAGAAAAGAATGTGAATTTCAAAAAAGAATAGAATAGAAAATAAAGGAATAGAAAATGTAAAGAAAATAAAGGAATAGAAAATGTAAAAAAAAAAAATAAAGCAATAAAAAATTAAAAAAAAATAAAGGAATAGAAAATAGAATAAAATAAAATAAAATAGATAGATCAATCGAACAAATTTCAAAAAAGAATAGAATAGGATAAAACAGAAGAGAATATAAAAGAATGTGAATTTCAAAAAAGAATAGAATAGAATAAAACAGAGAACATAAAAGAATGTGAATTTAAAAATAAAGGAATAGAAAATGTAAAAAAAAAAGAAAAAGAAAATAAAATAAAATTAGATGGATGGATAGATAGATAGACAGATCAATCAAATAAAATGAATTTAAACAAATCCGAAACAACAAAACAAAATTTTGTCCAAAATAACGAATTATCCAAATTCAAATCAAATTTGAAACAAATTAGAAAACTAAATTTGAATTTGAAAACAAATTTGAAATGTAAACATATTACTGACTATTGCTGAATGTAGCTGTCCTCCAGAATTAGAATTTGGAAATAGACACCATTGATCTTTTTAGCTATCACAAAGGGGGGGGAGGGGGTCATCCAAATGACTGACTGGACTCACAAGAAGCAAGTTCAATTCAGTCCAGAACAGGGGCGGACTGACAACTCATGGGGCCCCCGGGCAATAGGAGATCATGGGGCCCCTGTGTCCTCAACCACACTCAAACCACACCCAAAAAAAAGCCTATGAAAGGTATTAAGGACATCTCATGGGGCCCCCTACTGACCCCGGGCCCTCGGGCAGTGCCCAAGTTCCCCAATGGTCAGTCTGCCCCTGGTCCAGAAGAGCAGCATGGTCTTTCGGAGGAGTCATAGATGAGGAGCTGCTTTCTTAATTTTTTTTTTTTTTTTTAAGATCCGGGTAAATGATTTTTACATTTTTTTTTCTGATCTGCTGGAAATCTGCTTTAGATGATCAGCTTCAGAACAGCAGATTCCTAGACATGATGAAACGACAATCAAACAGTAAAATGTGGAAGGAAAGCCAAGTAGGTGGGAGGCTGTCATTTATTTTGTCTAATCAGTAATGTTGATTTAGCAACAAATGTTCGGGTTCAAAAGGACACTTGGCTAACAATGATCACAACGCGGCAATGAATCGTTTGATTCGTTCCATAAGATGATGATGTCTGCTAAGTGGGAATGAAAAAGGGAAAATATATATTGTCGCCTCTGGTAATTGTTTAATTATATCCTGTAGAACACTTGCCTGAAATAGCTTTCTATGTTTACATTGGAGGGATGCAATGGATTTTGCAGGTGGATCCAAAAAGAAAACGTACGCCATCCCATATATAATATTGGCGTGTGACCGAGGGTAGGAAGGACAGAACACACAGAGCAAATTGGCAAACGCACAAAGCTTTATTGAGACAACAAAATGACAGTCACTCAATGGGAAAATGACAGGGAGGGTGATCTCGCCAGTAGGGGGACAACGGGGAGGGGCTAAAACACTTGTAGTCCAGTATCGAGAGCAAAGAAAAAGTCTCTGTAGCTGTCAGGGATCGCCGCGGGCGCAGTATGCCGACTCGCAGGCGCTAGTTCCTGGCCAGCCGCGGCGATGGAGCTCACGCATGCGCACTAGGGTCCGCGGGTGCGCGCCTGGCACCAATGACAGAGCAGGGCGCGGTATTTAAATCCCCCCTGTGCTGTCACTGGTTGCCGTATGGTCTTATCTGAATCCTGTTCCTGTTACCTGTGTACTTACGTTTGTTGCTGACCCGGATTACGCTGACCTTGCTGATTTCTCCTGTCCTGACCCTTGGCTTGCCTGACCTCGCTCCTGGATGCCCCCCTATGGATCTGACCTCTTGTTGCTGACCTGGCGTGTGACCCGACCATTCTCTGTCCGCTGCTTTGTACCGCACCGACCCCACGGCTACCGACTCGGCTTGTCTGACCTTGCACCTGCTCATCTCTCCATCCATCCGTCCATCCCGTCGGGATCTCCCGGCCTCCTCACATCAGGCTCTCACCCTGCAGGAACCTCTGGCGAGCTCCTCTACGACTGGTGGGTATACCCAGGGGCCACGACCTGGTCTCGGTTCGCTCCAAGTCCATCCCCACCATCAGGGGCCCTGGTGAACAAGTGAACCGGGACTTAGACTCAGCGCTCTGGGGAAGCCTGACCAGTGGGCTGCTAGAGGTACCGCCAGGTGGTTCCTTACAGTAGCAGATTGTAATCCAACAGGGGGGTTAGGGGATCATCACAGAGACAGTTCGGGTAAAACAGGGGAAAGCATATGCTCCCGGATCCGACAGGGTGTCCGGTGCTCCAGGGATAAGAAAGTAAGACACAGGTACCTGTTGGAGGTCCGGGACAGGCGAGGGGTCTCTCCCTTTGGAGCTGGGGGTCTCAGGCAGGCTGGCTTGTGTGCTCTCCCCCTTTACTGGGGTCTCAGGCAGCAGGCAGGCAATCTCCCCCCTTCGCTGGGGCCTCAGGCAGGCTGGCTTGTGCGGTCTCCCCCCTTTGGACTGGGGTCTCAGGCAGCAGGCAATCTACCCCTGGGCTGGGGGTCTCCGGCAGGCTGGCAGGCAATCTCCCCCTAGACTTGGGGGGCTCAGGTAGCTGGCAGGTAATCTCTCCTCCGCTGGGGTCTCAGGCAGGTAGCAAGTAATCTCCCCCCTTTGCTTGGGGAGGCAGGTGTGGGTGATCTCCCCCTAGCCTTGGGGGTCTCATGCAGAGTCTGGTCACGAGGGTCCCGCCGTAGCTGGGGCTCCCTCCGTGACTGCACAGCAGGATGGACGATCGGAGAACCCGGCATCAGCCTCTTAAGCTGATGCAGGACGCTCTCCGGCTGTCCTGGCAACCGGGGGCGGCGTGCCTCATCGCTCGGCAACGAGGCACACCCCCTGGACACGGGCCGCGCTTCTCGTGAGCGCGACCTTTGTCCAGGGACATCCGCAAGCGCGGGAATTTCTCGTGCCCGCGCTGCGGATGACAGGGATCGTGCAGCGTCAGCTTGTCGCCGTGATCTCTCTCATCTCTGCAGGAGGCTTGCACCTCTCCATAGAGAGGTGTGAACCTCGCTATCCCGTCTCCTCTGGCCTCGCCGGATGGGGACAAGATAGTGGCAGAGGTGCGAGGGGCCACGCCTCTCATCCTGCGCGGCTCTGCTTCAAAGAGCAGCAGCAGGACGGGAGACGGCAGGGAGGGGGAAGGTCATCCTGATGGGGGGAAGCAGGGGAAGCAGCTGTGACATGGCGTCTCGCAGAAAATACTGTATATATATATATATAATGGTATCAAAATATTTGAGACTAGTGTTGCAACACGCCAACAAAATGTCCCCGGTGTGCTGTCTATTACTGGCGATGGTGGAACTTGTGGACAATGTATATGATGGAAGGGAGCACTGACATTCATAAGACATCATCCTGTGTACATCGGGAGCTGTGCAACTGGTGCTGTTCTGACCACATGTGTTACCATGTCTGCTATTTCATCATGGACAGCAAGTTAGAACAAAAAGCAAACAGGAAACTCTACGGGAAACCTGTACACCCAAGTTTCGTCACCGGCATGCTGATGGAGTTCTTGGCAGACTTTGCTGGGATCCCACTTGGGTGAGACCAATGTGTGCTGGAGGTGAAATCCCATGAAGATGAGGCCATGTATGTTCTAGAGGTGGTGTCAGAGCCTGGGATCGAACCTGGTCCTTCTGCAGTGGGAGGCAATGTCTCTTCTCACTGAGCTATCTGGAATGCTGGAAAGCTCCCTTGACAATTCTTGGATGATCCTGCCTTGTGCCTTGATTTCTCTTGAACCTTGAACTCCTTGCTCCTCCCATGAACTTCCTTATAAAAGCCATGTCCATGCACTTCCTCCTTGCCAGATTATTGTGCCTTACCAGCCAATATCCCGCTTACTGGTCCTGCTGCTGTCTTCATCTACGTTACCGACCTTTGGCTTGCTACTGACTACGATTCTGCCACATCCTATCTACTACCATTGGTGACCGACCCTTGGCTTGTGACTGACTCCGCTTCTGTTTGATCCCTGAACTGTTTGATCCGCTTTTGGTTTCCAGCCTACTCATTCCCTGGTGGGGTGATTCTGAGATCTGCGACCTGGCATTCACACGCAGCCAAATCCATCTCCACCATTAGGAGCTCTGGGGAAGACCGGTGGATGCTTAGACCCCGCACCTCAGGTGAGCCTGCGTCATTCCCAGGGTGGGCCGCTGGTGGACCAATCCTGCTGGTTTCAGGTAAGCCTTGCAACTGCTGTAGCAACTGGTCTCTGAACCTGACCTTATATCGTGACAGGTGGGATCTCACTGGGATGTGACTTTGACCGCAGTGTTCCTTCTGCTCCTGGGTCAGCAGCCTGGGGACAGACTTGGCAGCAACATGGCGCATGTTCAAATGACGTGTGAGGATTGCCTGGACTATTCCGTATGGCACATCGGCAACGGCAGCAATGTTGTGAATTGTTCTCCGAAGACCATGGATGGTTTTGACATTTTCGGGGATTGAGCTCGTTGAAGGTCTCCCTTATCTCTTATTGTCTTCCAGTGATGTTCTTCTGCTCTTGACGCGCGCGTGGCACTCAACAAAACCTCAAACAACTCGTTGCAGCATTGCCATAAACTTGACGAATCATGTCAAACGTCCCTGTGGCAGATCTGCCGAGTTTCACGCCGAATTTCATGTTTGCTCTTTGGTCTAACTCACTGTCCATGATGAAACAGTAGATGTTATACTACCAGTTGCACAGTTCCCCATGTAAACAGGACAATGTCTTTTGGTACAATGACTTATGAAGGTCGGTGCTCCCTGTGACTGTGCATGAAGCCTTGTTTTGCCATCTGTTGATGTTACAAAACTAGTCTCAAAACGTTTTGATACCACCTCTTATGTGTGAGGGGCCCCTTGTATGTATGTGTGTGAAGGGCCCCAACTCCAGTCCAGCATGTCTTCCATCATACACATCAGGGGCGGACTGACCATTTGGAAACTTGGGCACTGCCCAAGGGCCCGGGGTCAGTAGGGGGCCCCATGAGATGCCCCTGGTACCTTTTTTCATAGGCTTTTTTGAGTTTGGGCAAGGACACAGGTGCCCCATGATCCCCTATTGCCCGGGGGCCCCATGAGTTGTCAGTCCGCCCCTGATACACATTGTCCACAACTTACACCATCACCAATAATAGCACACCAGGGAGATTTTGCCTCAGTGTGTCCCCAATGTGGAGATTTCTCCTCACTTCCAGTCCTGTCCTGTGAAAGGAGGACTCTCCTAGGTGTCCCTGCAGCACCAGGCTTCTGGGCTACGACTGGAATGAGGTGACAACACCGGAAGAGGGGCGGTGAACTGAAGAGGGAGGACATGAATGGTCTCTGCCTGCCCTGCCTCCCCTCCCCCATTGCAGAACAAGTCCAGCTCCTTCCTACTCCTGGACGTAATGACGTCATTAGTACCTGCGCTCCCTGGTTGTCCTGGTGATGGGCGGTTGTTTACTAGCCGAAGCTGGACAGAGTGATGGTGGCTGGGGGTGAGGTGAGAAACCCTCCTGGGGGAGGGGGTGCAGTGGAATGGTATGCAATGTGAGATTGTGGGGTGCAGGAGAATTAAAATTAAAAAGGGGGGGGGAGGCTGCAGGAGAAATGTAATTGGTAGGGAATGGTAATTATAAATAAATTCGGGGATGCAGGGGAATTATATTTGTGGGGGAAGGGTAAATATAATTGAAGGGGGGGCTTCAGGGGAATTATATTTGTGTGGGAAGGGCAAATATAATTGAGGGGGGGCCTGCAGGGGAATTATATTTGTGGGGAAAGGGTAAATATAATTGGGGGGGGGGGGGGGGGCTGCAGGTGAATTATATTTGTGGGGGGGGAAGGGTAAATATAATTGAAGTGGGGGGGGGCTGCAGGAGAATTCTATTTGTGGGGAAGGGTAAATATAATTGGGGGGGCTGCAGGGGAATTATATTTATGGGGGAAGGGTAAATATAATTGAAGGGGGGGGGCTGCAGGAGAATTATATTTGTGGGGGAAGGATAAATATAATTAAAGAGAGGGGGGGGGGCTGCAGGGGAATTATATTTGTGGGGGAAGGGCAAATATAATTGAAGGGGGGGGGCTGCAGGAGAATTATATTTGTGGGGAAGGATAAATATAATTGAGAGGGGCTGCAGGGGAATTATATTTGTGGGGGAAGGGTAAATATAATTGAAGGGGGGGGCTTCAGGGGAATTATATTTGTGTGGGAAGGGCAATATAATTGAGGGGGGGCCTGCAGGGGAATTATATTTGTGGGGGAAAGGGTAAATATAATTGGGGGGGGGCTGCAGGTGAATTATATTTGTGGGGGAAGGGTAAATATAATTGAAGTGGGGGGGGGGGGGCTGCAGGAGAATTCTATTTGTGGGGGAAGGGTAAATATAATTGAAGGCGGGGGGGGCTGCAGGAGAATTATATTTGTGGGGGAAGGGTAAATATAATTGAAGGGGGGGCTGCAGGAGAATTATATTTGTGGAGTAGGGTAAATATAATTGAAGGGGGGGGGCTGCAGGAGAATTATATTCGTGGGGGAAGGGTAAAATATAATTGAAGGGGGGGGCGGCTGCAGGATAATTACATTTGTGGGGGAAGGGTAAATATAATTGAAGGGGGGGAGGGCTGCAGGATAATTATATTTGTGGGGGAAGGGGAAATATAATTGAAGGGGGGGGGGGGCTGCAGGAGAAATATAATCGGTAGGGAATGGTAATTATAAATAAATGAGGGGTTGCAGGGGAATTATAATTGTGGGGGAAGGGTAAATATAATTGGGGGGGCTGCAGGGGAATTATAATTGAAAGGGGATTGTTACACCATGTTTTACTGCACCAGCTAACACCAACCGTAGTGAAGCCACTGCAGGTAAATAATGGATTCCAAGCAGAAGCAACGTGCGGTCATCGAGTTCTTGATGAAGGAGGGGTGCAGGTTGTCCAACATCCACAGAAGGCTGCAGAATGTTTACGGAGATGATACAATTGACAAGAGCCACCAATGACAAGACATTGCTCTTTTCAATGGTGTCATCTCCGTAGGCACTCTGCAACCCTCCGTGGGAAGCCTGCACCCCCTCCTTCATCAAGATCTCAATGACCGCACATTGCTTCCCTTGGAGTCCATTATTTACCTGCAAAGGAAACCAAGAAGAGTTGCTACAGAGGAAGAGTTGCTCTACCAACATGTGAACTGTGAACATCCTTTGTGAAATTTGACCATGCCCACTTTTGCATTACTTTCAGAACAGCCCTCTTATGAGGGAACATACAGCAATTGGTATTCATGCATGAAGAGCATCTGTGAAGGTTCTAATCTCCCCAGATCGTGGTGTAGCTCGTCAAAGTCCAAGTCAGCTTCGACCGCACTTCCTTTTCCGGTAAAGCTGAAGATGTTTTATAGCTCCAGCCTAAATCCAATCATCATAGCGGCATGGAATGTGTCAAAGTAGATGCTGATTGTCCAAGAACATAAGGGCTGTACAAGCTTGTGAAAACACTGTGTTCTAATCAGGGGTGGACTGACAACTCATGGGGCCCCCGGGCAATAGGGGATCATGGGGCCCCTGTGTCCTTGCCCAAACAAAAAAGCCTATTAAAAAGGTACCAGGGGCATTTTATGGGGCCCCCTATTGACCCGGGCCCTCGGGCAGTGCCCGAGTTTCCAAATGGTCAGTCTGCCCCTGGTTCTAATTTACATAATTTGAATTACTTTGGTATCATGAGGTCTTAGACAGGTGTTAGTTGTTGGAGTTACATGGTTGATTGTGAATCTGGTTTCAAATCACTGGGGTAAAAATGTTAAAACAGCATAATGTGTTGGTAGCAGGGGTGGACTGGCAACTCATGGGACCCCCGGGCAATAGGGGAGCACTGGGCCCCTGTGTCCTCGCCCACACTCAAACCACACCCAAAAAAAGCCAATGAAAGGTACCAGGGGCATCTCATGGGGCCCCCTACTGATCCCAGGCCCTTGGGCAGTGCCCGAGTTTCCAAATGGTCAGTCCGCCCCTGGGACGACTTTACCTACCGAGTGCCAGAATGGTCAGCCCACCCCGGTTGGTAGCATGTGGTGGTGATGATGTCAATGTAACTGGTTAGTATTGTAATGCTGCCTCCGATTATACTCACCTGTCCCCGATAATTGAGATATCAGCTATGCATTTTGTCGGTGCTGACAACAATGCTTCCTGCTGATTATATGAAGGAGCAGTGTGCATGTGCTGGAGGTGGGATCTCACTGCAGTGAGACCATATGTGTGCTGAGGCTGGATCTCAATAGGGTGGGACGCTGGTGGTGGGATCTCACTGGGGTGAGGCCAATGTGTGTGCTGGAGGTGAGATCCGGCGAAGGTGAGAGGCCATGTCTGTTCTAGAGTTGGGCTCTCACTGGGGTAAGACCAATGTGTGTGCTGGAGGTTGGATCTCACTAGGGTGAGACCATGTGTATGTTGGACGTGGGATCTCACTGGGGTAAGACCAATGTGTGTGCTGGAGGTTGGATCTCACTAGAGTGAGACCATGTGTGTGCTGCTGGTGGGATCCCCCTTGGGTGAAACCAATGTGTGCTGGAGGTGAGATCCCATGAAGATGAGGCCATGTATGTTCTAGAGGTGGGATCTCACTGGGATGTGACCATGTATGCTGGAGATGAGATCTCACTGAGATGAGACCATGTGTATATTGGAAGTGGAAATCTCATTGGGGGTGGACCAATGCATGTGCTGGTGGTGGAATCTCATTGGAGTGAGACCAATGTGTGTGCTGGAAGTGAGATCTTACGGAGGTGAGACCATGTGTATTCTAGAGGTGGGATCTCATTGGGATGTGACCATGTGTGCTGGAGATGAGATCTTGCTGGGATGAGCCCATTTGTGTGTTGGGAGTGGGATCTTACTGGGGTGAGACCATGTGTGTGCTGGGGGTTGGTTCTTACTGGTGTGAGACCATGTTTGTGCTTGAGGTAGGAATTCACTGGGGTAAGACCACATGTATGCTGGAGGCAGGATCTAACTGGGGTGAAACCCATGTGTGTGTGTGCTGGAGATGAGAGCTCACTGGGGTGATAATATGTGTGTGTTGTAGGTGAGATCCTACAGGGGTAAAACCATATGTGTGCTAAAGGTGAAATCTCAATGGGGTGAGACCATGTGTGTGCTTGAAGTGGGCTCTCTGGTGTAAAACCATGTTTCTGCTGGAGGTGGGATCTCACTGGGGCGAGACTATGTGCGTGCTGCAGGTGAGAGCTCACTGGCATCAGACCAATGTGTGTGCTTGGGGTGAATTCCCATGGGGGAGGAAGGGGTGGGGGGGACAGGCAGTTGAGACCATGTGTGTGCTGGAGGTGGGAACCTATTGGTGTTAGACCAATGTGTGTGTTTGAGGTGAGAAAACCATGTTTGTGCTGAAGGTGGATCTCACTGGGGTGAAGACTACAGTTTGTGTGTGCTAATGGTGAAATCTCACTGGGGTGAGACCATGTGTGTGCTGGAGGTGGGATCTCATTGGGGTGAGACCATATGTGTGCTAAAGGTGAGATTTCAGTAGGATGAGACTATGTATGTGCTTAAGAGGGTATCTCACTCGGGAGAGCCCATGTGTGTGCTGGAGAGGGGATCTCACTACGATGAGACCATGTGTGTGCTGGAGGTGGGATCCTGCTGGGTGTTAGACCAATGTGTGTGCTGGAAGTGGGATCTCACTGGTCTGAAACCATGCTTGTGCTGGAGGTAGGATCTCACTGGGGTGGGACCATATGTGTGCTGGAGGTGAGAGCTCACTGGGGTGAGACTATGTGTGTGCTAATGGTGAAATCTCACTGGGGTGAGACCATGTGTGTGCTAATGGGAAATCTCACTGGGGTGAGACCATGTGTGTGCTGGAGGTGGGATCTCATTGGGGTGAGACCATGTGTGCCAAAAGTGAGATTTCAGTAGGATGAGATTATGTATGCGCTGGGAGAGGGGATCTCAGTATGAGAAGACCAAGTGTGTGCTGGAAGTGGGATCTCACCAGTGAAAAACCATGTTTGTGCTGAAGGTGGGATCTCACTGGGGTGGGACCATGTGTGTGCTGGAGGTGAGAGCTCACTGGGGTGAGACTATGTGTGTGCTGTAGGTGAGATCCCACAGGGGTAAGACCATATGTGTGCTAATGGTGAAATCTCACTGGGGTGGGACCATCTGTGTGCTGGAGGTGGGATCTCATTGGGGTGAGACCATATGAGTTCCAAAGGTGAGATTTCAGTAGGATGAGACTATGTATGTGCTGGAGATGGCTATCTCACTGAGGTAAGCCCTGTGTGTGTGTTGATGAGATGTGTGGGGATCTCACTGGCATCAGACCAATGTGTGTGCTTGGGGAGAGATTTCACGGGGGAGGAAGGCAGTTGAGACCATGTGTGTGCTGGAGGTGGGATCTCACTGGGGTGGGGACCATGTGTGTGCTGAGGGCTGGATCTCACTGGGGTAGGACCATGTGTGTGCTGAGGGTTGGATCACTCACATGGGGTGGGACCATGGGACATGTGTGTTCTGAGGGTTGGATATCACTGGGATGGGACCATGTGTGTGTTGGGGTTGGATCTCGCTGGGGTGGGACCATGTGTGTGCTAAGGGTTGGATTTCACTGGGGTGGGACCATGTGTGTGCTGAGGGTTGGATCTCGCTGGGGTGGGACCATGTGTGTGCTGAGGGTTGGATCTCACTGGGGTGGTTGGATATCATGATGTGGTGTGTGTGAGGGTTGGATCTCACTGGGGTGGGACCATGTGTGTGCTAAGGGTTGGATTGTGTGCTGAGGGTTGGATCTCACATGTATGGGGTTGGATCTCGCTGGGGTGGGACCATGTGTGTGCTGAGAGTTGGATCTCACTGTGGGTGTTGGACCATGTGTATGTGTGAGGGTTGGATCTCACTGGGGAAAGACTGAGGGTTATCACTGTGTGTGTGTGGAGTTAGGATCTGATTGCTGCAGCATACTCTATGTAACTAAAATCAAGACTGGAATCAGAATCCGGAACGTGAAAGTAGGATTTATGTGTTATAATATAGGTTAGGTTAAACAGGAAAAACGAGATGCATGTGGAAACTCTAGAGGGCATATTTCCTTCCCCTCCTGTGAAAAACCCTCCAAGCTCGTACTGGAAAAAACAATTGCTATCCAGAGCTAAATTAGTATGTATCACATTAGAGAGAATTCCAAGGCGTGCATTCATTAATAGCCATCACCATCTCCTTTTTACAGAGAATTTTGAAATCTGCCCATCCTTTTAATAAAGAACCCCCTTCTGAGTGACAAATTAGTTTTTCTTTATGTCTAAGTGGAAATACTCTTACTAGTTGCATGTTTTGTGTGAAGGAAAGCTAATACGCAATTAACATTCCATAGCTCCGATATCTATGGAAATAAAGTGAGATTACAAATGTAACCATTTCTTTGCTCTTTGTCTTTATTATGAACTGTACTAGAATCATTAGCAGCTCTGCTCTTCTATTCACTGGAAAGGAGGTCTCCAGACATACGGTTCTCTTCATTTTGTCCTAAAGCTCAACTCTAGGGGAAAAAATGCCATTGTTCACAACCCTACCTGCTCCTAACCAATCGTTTTTTCTTTTTTAAAGCTTCCAGGAACTTAATCTACTTACCGAGTATGCTGTTACATGACAACATGCCTCTTTCAGTAATGGAAAATTGGTTATCGAAAATCTGCACTTCAGGCCAATCGGTCTTGGTGCCGCTCCTCATTTTTGTGACCTCATGTTTGCCACTGTTGGAAGACTTAAGAACCCTGTGAAGACCATATGAGGACCTGTGATGGATTCCCCTGATACCAATCGCCAGGTCCACATTGTCATGAAGAAATGTGGCCCATGTATGAAGGATTCTCCACACTTAACCAGAAGAAGGAAGAATCAATACAGACCCGGCCTGTCATTTGTGATTGCAATGAGCCAATGGGTTTTTAGTAAATGAGAGCACAATGGGCAGGTTTTTCTTTTTTTTATTTATTCAGGGATTATCTATTTAAACCAAAGAAAGCATCCCCTTAGACGTGCATGCTTCATTTATCTGGTTGGAGATTCCTGTCTTGATTCCATTTTCTTAGTAAAATTGCTGAAACCTCAAGATAATGGTTGGTGACTCAAAATTAAAATGTGCTAATTATGTGCCCGTGGGGCATCCTGGTGATTTATGAGCCGCTTCGAGTACTGAGGATGAAACTACTAGAGATGAGCGAAGTAGTATTCAAAAATTCGATTCGACTGATTCGGCGAATTCGTAGAAAAATTTCGATTCGAGTCGAATATATTCGCTGTGAATTTAACTTAAAAAAGGGTGTTTCTAGGCTTCAGAGAGACTTAATATTAGTGCTGAACACTTGTACCTTTAATTTAAATGCCCTTGAAGTCTGCTGGGGAAGAGAAATAATACTGTCAGGCAGTTATGACATGCAGATGAGTGCCGTCGATCTTAGAATCACCGCACACTTCACTCATTTTGGGCAGTCACGTGGGCCAAAACCAGAGTGGTGGAGCCACAGTGTGGCGGTGGAGGCAGCAGCAATGGGAGGCCATACAGCACCCTATGACAAAAATGGAAAACCACCAGCAGTGTGAGGAGACCTGAAAGTGGCACATTGGCAGAGTGTGGCGATAGAGACAGCAGCATATGGGAGGCCGTACAGGGACCCATGACACACTCTGGACTGAGCAGCATGAGGAGGGGGTACAGGGGCACATGGCAGATTACAGGGCTGGCAGCAGCCTGGAGGGT